TCCTTGCGCTGGGAGGGCTCTGCTTCTACCAGACCGAGAGCTTGGCCCTTTCACAGTTCATCCAGAAGGCTGGCACAGATTCGTTTACCCTCGGGTGTTTCAGCCCTCCCTCCTTTGCAGCTCAGGGAGGGCTATGGTTCTTTAGAAATTTTCCATGAACTTTTTAAAAACTCCCTCATATATTATCATTTAATTCCATTTTCCCATGAACTTTTTGAAGCTTCCTCATATGTGTATTAAGTTTGCATAAAGTAGAACTTCTTAGCCCACCCATTACTAGAATTCTTACTTTTCCTTTCAGTTTTATGGGATGTACACTTGGGAATAAAGTAGAAATATTCATCATGCTCTGAATGTGTCACTATGTCCGAAATAAAATTGAAACTGAAAACCAATTGTACACGTCGCATACAAGTGTCGTGTAACACAGGGTAAAAGGGAGCTGATGTTGAGGAGTTCAAGAAGGGAAAGAACGTTTTGAAACTGATTGTGGTAGCTGCTGTACAGTGCTGCTTGACGTCTTTAACTATAGAATAATGTATCTGTATTAACTCCCAATAGAATGGTTTTGAAAAAAAATACTTTATATGATTCTGCTTTAAAAAAAGAGAAAAATCTCTCAATGAAAGCCCAGAGGTCTAAGAAGAGCCCAGCGCATTTTCTTGTCGTTTCCTTTGCAGTGACACGCGTTTGTCTCCACAGGGGGGTCTTTGGACGTGTACAGGAAAGTCCCGGAGCGCGTCCTTGGAAGAATTGCAGTAGCTGTGAGTATATGGCTGCAGCCTTCTGAAATCTGAGTTCCCTTTCTTAGTCTTGGCGCCCAGCTTCGCCGTCCTGGTGCCCTCTGGGCTCTGCGTGTTTGTCCTTTCACCCACCGTCTCTGCTGCGGGCTTGTACCTTTTTACTCTTCTGTTTTTCTTCTTTTTGTCTTTCCCTCTTTTGATGGGCCAGCCCATGATGATGTCAGAGTCACATGACATCCACCAGCTGTAGGGGTGCACTGGGATTTCGAATTATTTATTTACAGTATGTTAGGTGAGTGTTTACATTTCAGATCATCCAATTTGTATTCAAAGGTTTAAACTCTTAATCAGCATCCCATCCCACCCCCCAGAGATCACCCTCCACCTACTCCTCGACTTCTCTTCTCACTCCCATGGCTGCTATCTCCCCTGCATCCGAGTTAGCAGCTCGCACCAGCTGAGCCCGCTGCTTCCTCGGGACGCCCTTGCCCCGCCCCCCACTGGGCAGCCCCCAAGCTCCGTTTCTTTTAGTATGAAAGTCTTGATTGTGTTTGTTTTCCTTCTGTATAACAGTACTCACAACTAACATTTGTCCTTCTGTGATTCACTAATATCATTCTGTTGCTGGCATCTTTAAGTGCTTGTTGAACAGTAAAATATCCAGATTCTTTTTTTTTAATGGACATTTTGTAATTATAGGCTTATGATAAAAAAAATCTCTTTTAAGATTTAAGGTATTATATCAGTGGTAAGCAAAATGCCACTTTGTTCCTAATGATTACATATATATGTATATTACTGTTTTTTATTATTTATATCAACTGTATCTAGGAATTTGTTCCCAGTATGCTTGAAAACAGTGCCCTGTTTTCTATGTTTTCTAATAACTACTGAAAAAATATCAACTAAATAGTACTACATCAGATCTAGGTTTCAGACTTGGATAGTTTAGGCTCCATAGTGACGAAGCAAAGCCGCAGGGTGGTGTAAGAGTAAACAATTGCTAAAGTGAAAGCACTCTGGTAACTTCAGCAATTTAATGCCGAACAAAGTGATTGCACCATGTACCATTTAATTAAATGGCTGATTTTCACATTCGTTATATGTCAAACTGACGACTCCAATCCTTTAATCCAACACGGACACTTATTTAGTCTTCGTTCATTGCAATTCACAGCTTTCCTTTTTTCTTTCTAATTATTAGTGTGAACTGCCCAGGGTGATGAGAACCCTCTTTTCTGATGCTTTTGCTGCTAAGGAGCTTCTAATCTGCATGTTTAGGTAGATTAGTTTAATATGAAATTTCAGTACTTAAAGCACTCCTCTAGATGAAAATAAAAATGTTTCATTTCCTCTTCTAATCTCCGGGGGAATGAATGATTTGTGGCTTTTGGCAGTTCTTGGCTCTAAAGTTTAGCAACATGCATAATAAAGGACAAAATATGGCAAGGATACCCATTGAAAAAGGGAAAAGTGGTATACAAAAGTCCTATATACTCAGTTATCTCCCGAACTTGGGAAAAATAGCGATCTGCCGTCAGTAGAGAAGCTTACCGTACTTCATAGATCTGGCCCCTCTGTGATAGGCACGTGCACAAGGCACTGCTTGTTCCAGTTCTGTTGGCGTGGAAAGCCTGTGACGTGAATGGAGTCAGCAGAGAAAAAAATTCCTTTCAAATATAGGACTTGTCCACTGGGTAATTGGAGGGAGAAATTATTTTAGTGAAAAACGTTTAAACTAAGTGCGAGGCCAACACGTTGTTTATATCGAGCCTCTTCTTTTTTAATCATCTTATTGGGGCCTCGTACAACTCTTATCACAATCCA